GGAGCAAGAAGGCACCAAGCAAGGGGAAGGGCAATGAGACCAAGAAGACGGCAGCTTCAAACACTGCAACACTAGCAAAGCCTCCACCCAAACAACCCGTGAGTTTTTTGTACTACTGGTATCAGAACGTCATTGTTGAAGATTGGAGAAACAACTGCGTGCTTTGTTTATTTGCCAACAAATGAAGGGGAGTATCGGAGACAGGAAAAGGTATATGCCAATGATTCAAGTGTGAGCAGTGATGAGGACCTTGAACACAAGGAGGGTGAGTATTCATGTTTTGTGCTACTGTTGTGTGACAAAAGCCTTGATCTCGCCTGCTTCTTTTGTCACTGAATATTATGGTGATGAACGATGCCAATTTGGGTTGAGTATGCTTTGTTTATTTGCCAACATATGAAGGGGAGTATTGGAGACAAGAAAAGGTGTATGACAATAATTCAAGTGTGAGCTGTGATGAGGACCGTGAACACAAAGAGGGTGAGTATTCATGTTTTGGCGCTACTGTTGTGTGACAAAAGCCTTGATCTCACCTGCTTCTTTTGTCATTAAATTAAATACTGTGGTGTTGCAAGATGTCAATTTGTGTTGAGCAATGCTTTCAATGTCACGGATGAAGCATTTGCACTTTTGATGATGGAGAACTATGTGGACAGATGGAAGGCACTGGCCAAAGAATGGCCAAGCAGTGGCAACACTAACTGAACCACAAATGCTCTGAATAAAAGCGCAAGGAGGCAAGGCAACAAATTGTAACAGTATATGAGGATTCCTGAAAAGTAGATAGAACAAGTATTGTTTAGTTGATATTAATATATAGTCATTGTGATATTTCAATTGTTGTAGTGATCACATTAACACTTTGGGCATGTGACAATAGATGATGCTGGCAATGCAAAAATGACAAGGTGAAGGTGGTATTGAGACTTATAGTGCATGGTTGATGGTGGCTAGACCCTGTCCCAAAATGACAAGTAGTAGGTGATTTTTTCACACGGCGAAGGTGACATTAGCACAGAGGCAAAAATAAATATGAAAAGGTTCCAGTCGAATGGCTGCGATAAAATCACATGGCCACATAAGCAGACCGAGCCATGTCCTAATGTGACATGAGCAAGCTGACCAATAGGACCAGACTTTCTTTTCCGATGTTGCTTCCACCACTTTAGTTTGTCAAGCATTCCGGAATCGAGGCATGTGGTCGTGCAGTAAGGCTCCGCGCCGATCCCAAGCCCAGGTGGACGGACTAGGGTGTGAAACTCCTTCAGATGGGTGTGGCCAAGTTGACGGGGTGTTGCTTCGGTCAGGGACTCAAGAACTCCCACAGCAACTGCAAGACTCAATCATGACCACTTCTTGTGAGTTGGTGACTGGAGTAGGTATTCGCAGATGGCTAGGGCTCGGTCCTTCTTGGATTCTGGGATTCATAGGCATGGAATGTCGGTAGTGTCGAACAGGAGGCCACAGTATTTGACCACTTGTTGAGGTGGAACCAATTTCTTTGGGTGGAAAAGGAAACCACAGTCGACGGCCGTGTTGAGAAAGAATGCCAAAGCTCGGGTGGTCTTCTCATGGGAGGATCCATGGATCAGGAAGTCATCAACCCAAACCCAGATGTGCACCGCTCCTCCATCGGCCAAAGTGAGAATGAAACCGTATCCAAGTTTTGGATCAAAGCCATTGTTCTGGAATTGGAAGACATCAAACTTTTCTTTAACCAAATGTACAAAGGCCAATCCAATTCGGTTAGTATAGGGTCTTTTGCGAAAAAGAAAGGGGTAGGGATAGGTAAAATTCAAACACTTGCATGTCATGATTCTAAACAGTCGCGGAAAAAGAGTGGCCTAGGCCCCCCAATTTCTGCGACAGGTCAGATGTCACATATTGAATAACTGCACAACCAAAGAATGGCCAAACAGCCGCGCAACCAAAGAATGGCCAAACAGTTGCGGAAAAGACCCCTCATTTCTGCGGTTGCTGAAGACATGCAATCGACTTGATTCACTACTCTAACTCTTGGCCATCTAAAAACTTTTGAACATGCTTAGCAAAACAAAGAAAAATACACAGGATCCAGGGAGATGCATCTGTGAACTCAAAAATATTACTACTTTTATAATCGATCCACATTTACCATATCATTTGCTGACAGCCCAAGAATTCAACAATAACTAAATCCAACTAATATCATGACATCTGACATGTCACAGAATTGGGGGGGCATAGGCCACTCGTTTGCCACGACTGTTTGGCCATTCTTTCCTTGCACAGATTTTCAAAATGTGACATCTGACATGTCGCAGAAAACATCAATTTCCATGACTGATTCACCATTCTTAAACTCAAGATGTGACATCTGACATGTCGCAGAATTTGGGGAGCATAGGCCACTCGTTTTCCGCGACTGTTTGGCCATTCTTTCCTTTCACAGATATTCAATATGTTGCAGAAAACATCGATTTCCATGACTGATTCGCCATTCTTAAACTCAAGATGTGACATCTGACATGTCGCAGAATTTGGGGGGCATAGGCCACTCGTTTTCCGCGACTGTTTGGCCATTCTTTCCTTGCACAGATATTCAATATGTCGCAGAAAACATCGATTTCCAGGACTGATTCGCCATTCTTAAACTCAAGATGTGACATCTGACATGTCGCAGAATTTGGGGGGCATAGGCCACTCGTTTTCGGAGTTAAAGTATAGACGTTGTTGGGCCCACACGGTTGATTCCCCTGTACCTTCTCTGTTTGGCCTATATGCCGAGACAACCACTAGATCATGTGAAATTGGGCGTCCGACCGCCTTGTTTACGTCTAGTACCAAGCCGGAGTGATCATCACCCCCCTGCGCCTGCAGCTTTTTTCCTTGAAGACAAACATAAGCCCATCGTCCCAGCCCCGTCAAATCGCTCCCTGATTCTTTAGCTCGGTGTGAGACCTGACTAAGTACTGTCGCGATGCATCCTCCCCATTGAAAGGCTGTAGTTGCTGAAGATCGTGACTGCTGTTTATTATAAGCGACAGCCAAATAAAAACCTTTGTGCTTTGCCTTCATCATAGCTTGACGCATCCTATCGTTCCACCCATGCCCCTCTGGGATAGAGGGCCAAAACGTTTTGGCCTCCGCCAACAACGCTATTCCCACTCGCTCATCTTGCAACCAGGAGTTGATCTGCCGCTGTTTCACATGGTCACCTTCCTCCGGAACACCGTTAGCGTTCTGGAAGGTGACGCAAGTAGCTAGTAAAGAGCTTCAGCGATGGTCGTCGCTAAGGCAGTCTCCTGGTGGAAGAGAGCGTAAATATTCGTCAAGTGAAGCGTCGGAAACAACACTTGACGGGCCACTAACTTGAGATCTTCTGCCTGCACGCCGTGACCTTGCGGCAGACAACCTGGGGCCTCTCATGGCCCTGCCGCGGAGCGAGGCGGTCCGTGGCCAAAGAAGGCAACTTAACAGATTGCTTGCAATAAATTTGGAATTAATTTTTATATTGGAATTTGGAATTTGGAATTTTATTCAAGGCCCAATTGCTCCTTCCACTTCTCCAGCGACCTGTTGGAGGTGGAGGTCAGACGGACCGGGCCGGTGTCTTTTGGTAAATATTGTGCTTGTTGCGCTCACTTACTAGGAAGTGCGCTGACGCGTACTTTTCTCTCGTACTTCTCTACATACGAGACCGTGGGGTGGTGACAAGGAGAATGACCCGAATTTTTGCCCGGGTGGTGCTCGATGGCGGATCGTATTTCATGGAATGAGCAATCGTAGTCACAACGTTATCACACTAGACCGAAAAGCAAAACGTTCAAAAGCCGATCCTGATGCTATAATGATTGAATCTGAAGTCAAAGCGTCTAGTAGCAGCACATCAAACGAAGATACGGATATGGCTAATAGTGAACATGGAAATGAAGAAGAAAAAGAATCTACAGCATATGAAATGCTGGTGAAGGAATCTTTACTGCAACAATGGTCAGAGGATTACGATGGGACTCTCAAAAAGTATCTGACAATAATTGGGAAGGCAAAGGAATCTCCTGATGCGCAAGCGGTCAATTTTCGTCAAGAGGTGATAGGTGAGGCGGTCGTGGCTGCTTTTCAGGGAAACCAAGAGATGATCTCAGAAGCGAATAGTGCTATCGAGATTACCTCAGCCCTTACTATTACGTCGTTGAATTTTCTCAAGCATCAGCAGGAACGACTGAAAATTGAAAATGAGAGGGGTTTGGATTATTTTCTTTACGCCGTGTGCATGAAAGTCTTGGAGGAGTACTACAAGAGAACAAAGGAGCAAGCTCGATCGCCAACTGTATTATCCGAATCCAATGATCGTATGGTTCCTGTCAACTATCTCATCAGCAAAACAGAGCTCTCTCATTCCTACGATGTTCACAAGTTTGTTCTTCAAGCTGAGCGCGTCGCGAAATGGTTCGATGCATCAAACGATTCTGTCAACCCTTCGGATTACGAAGATGCACCTTACTTTTGTGTCGTACAGTCGAGCGGGATGGGAAAGACCAAAGTAATTTACGAAGGTTGCAAGCAGTTGAAACAAAAGAATAATTGGTCTTGCTATACAGTTTTGCCATGGACACTGAAAGATTCCGATGCGCTGACGAAGGGCGACGTTTTCTCTCACAGGCTAAATCTCGAAGCATTTATGAATGAAAAAACAGCCTTGGATGCTGCAACGGCAGTTCTTGAATTCCTGAATTCTTTCTACAACAACCTAGTAGCTGAAGCATCCAACCAGCACAATAATGAAAATACCATATTTCTTTGTTTCGATGAAGCCCAGGTATACCTGGAATCCCAAAGGTTCGACAACGACAAGGGCGCCGAGAACGTTAAGCATCCTGCATTTCTATTTCGATGCATTCGGCTATGGCTTCGGCAGAAGAAACGACATCAGGAAGTGATTGGTTGCTTTTCTGGTACGCTTGCAACCTTGGCAAGCTTCCGACTGGAGGCTGATCCAC